AGGGGGGGGGGGGCCTTCCCCTTTTGTCCATTCCCCGGGTTTTTTTTTTTTTGAATCCCCCCCTTGTGTTTGAAAAGTGGTGGTGGGTTTTTTTTTTGGGTGGGAATTTTAATTTTTGGGCCGGGAGGGGGGCCCCCAAAATTTTTGGGCCCCCCCGGTTTAAACCCACTGGGAACCTTTTTTTTTTTTTTTTCCCCCCCCCCCCCCCCCCCCCCCCCCCCCGAACCTCGTCTTTCTGGCCTGTGCGTGTGGCTTCTTCCCCACCCGAAGATTCTCCGACACCCAGTGTTGACGAGCGTGAGCCGCAAGTTAGGAGCTAGCATCACTATCCTCTGGGGGCGGTGGGGCTTGCCAATCCCGATGCCTGGCAAGGTAAGACCTGTAGGTCGCGGGTACGCCGAGGATGCGGGCGCTAAGTCTCTCGGCACACTTGTCGCCCATCACACCGAACCAACACAATATTTATAAATACCTAAACTGTAGAAGCGAGTACGACTTTCCAGGCATCATGTACATGATCTTTCCGAAATTTGAAACGTTGAGGCGGTGTTTGTGTAGTTAACTTCTCGCGGTCGCGCTTTTTTGTTGTACAGGCTTGACCGTTGCGCCAGATTTGTGTGTAGCCAATGTGCATTCATTCCGTGCGTGTTGTGAATAGAGTAAATATTATGTATTGGGCAGGTCTAAGCGCATAGTGTGCGGGGCTGCGTCGCAGCTCTTTCCGGGCGGTGAGCTCTGTCAAACCCGAAGTTTCCTACTGTACGTGAGACCTATTTTTTTGTCGCCAGCAAAGATGCACGCGAAATATAGAGCGGCACAAACACGATAGAGGGAAAAAAAAACATCAACTGCGAAAACAAGTAGAAGCTCTTTCCACAAACCCATGACGATAAATCACAATATATGAAGTGATATGATCCCGCGACACCCCCCTTTAACCCCCCCCTCTCTCCCTCTCCTCCCCTTCCTCCGCGTCATGTCCTCTCCCTGCCGCCCTCCGCCACCTCTCCTTGCCGGCCGTCCCCTGTCTGGCAATCTCCCCTCCGTGTTGCCCTCTTCCTCTTGCGCCAATTTCTCCGGCTTTGTTGCATGCAAGTCGATGTGCGTAGTCGGCAAGCCGATAGGTATCCCGAAGAAGGAGTTCCCCTCGGAAGAGGATGTCGACAAGTGAGTAAAACACGGGTAGGAAAAATTCACCAGGACACAGGCTTGGAAAAATCCGAGACTGGTCGTCCCGTGGGCGAGGACCATGTACCGTCTGCTCTCAACTTTTGCCAGAACGTCTTGCAAGAAGACGCGACACACAGAGTTGATCCGTGCGTCTGATATGTCGCCCACCTTGAAGCAGAACCGTGCACGGCAGAAACCTCCCGCGCCACAACCCCGGAGCCCCTTCTGCACGCGGCGAAATTGGAAATATATTTGTCCCCTCGCCGACTGAATGAAACGCCTTCTAACCTGCCGTTTATTTTCGGAGACTTGTGTCATCCCCAAAATTATGCAGGTACTGCGTACGTACGCATACACACGCACCCAACCCTGCGTGTTTGTGTAACCCTGCGTGTTTGGTTTTTGTGGTGCGGTCAACGAGAACCCTTCCCCGCCGACTACCAAACGAAATGAAACGCCATTCTCATCCGTCTTCTTTTGACGGTTACATTTTCGGCGGTTACATTTGAGAGGCTACGATGTTGACAAGCGGGTAATGGTCGAAGCATCTTGGGGACGGCTTTGAGAGTGGTCGCGGCCGTTTTTTTATTTTTCAGAAACGAGACATCCCCTCTCTCCCTCCCAATGGATAAGAGATAGGATACACCACGGTAATGGCAATGAAATCATAGTGTTACCTCTTTTTGTTATGTAAGTACATGCCATCCAACCTTTGAAGTGAATGTACCGAACTGGTAAACGCCCGCCGATATCAACGTTTCGCGTCCTATGAATAGAGCGATGGTGTCGACATGGCGGAGAAGATATTCGAGAACCCTTGGAAACCCATAAAATGACATTTTTGAATTTAAACACAGAAGTCATCTCAGTAGATGGACGTCAGGCCAAATACGGGCGTCGAACGTTGTTTGCGTGATTTTGTGTGCATCTCAAGATATTTTTCGTAGCAAGTTTGCTGTTTTGTGGACTATTCCCGGCGGTCAACCAAGTGCGGAGTCACCCCCAAGTGGATCGATCGTCCGCCGCGAGATGTGCGTCAATAACGACCAGAAAGCCCGGCGCGAGCGTGTGCTGCTGAGCGATTTCTACCCTAAACTCGTACCAGCGCCTTGTGTTCGGGCAGCAGTTTTCAGCCCTTGTTCTGCGTCGCCCCCCCTCAGTCTCCGAGCACATGAGCCAACCAGCTATAGCCCACAGTTTTCGCTAGGGCGCTTGAAGGGGCAGGCGCTAGTTTCGTCGCCCGGTGTACCCCTTTTCGGCGGTATTGGCCGTTCGGCAAGCGGCGGGATTGCTTCTGCCGAGCTGCATCTGTTGGCCTGTTGGTCGCTCACATTCTTTTGAAAGAAATAGCACATTTCCCGGTTTTCAGCGCGCACCGCAAGCTCCGTGTCTCCGCTCTTCTCAACCAGAACGTGTTTCCGCTTGTGTGTTCCCTGTCTGCGTGTGTGTGGGCTATAAAGTGCAGTATGTGTTGGATCGGATTGAGATCTCCTCGTGCCTGCGGGGTCACAAGGCACTCACCCTCCGTGCGACCACCGCACGAAAAGTTTGCCTAGGCCGCTCGGGACGACCCCAAGAGCCCACAGCCTGTTTGCGTTCTGCTCGACTCGGACGGGGAGCAACGTAGCCAACAACGTTAATGAGTTTCGGAATATTTTTGCAAGAAACAACCAATTCATTCATGGTGATTCAAGGGTTTGTTGCACAAAGTCGGATCTTTTTCAGATGGCACAAGATTGAAACGATTGCTTCCGCTGTGCTGCCACCCCACCCTATCCCACTTACTTCGTCCGCGGCACCCGCGCCGTTTTTCTTGTCGCGTTTCCGTGATGCCTCAGGTACCACGCGGTGTACGTGAAGGAGGTGAAACGAATCTTTGACACTTACAAAACACGCCTCCCGGACTACAAGGACAAGAAGATCATCATCGAAACCTGAGTCTTAGTTTCTCGGGGAGCGCGCGCATGTGCGTGTTTGCAGCTGGAAGCCCCGCAGTGCCGTGTTGGTTGTTTGTGCTGTGAACGCCGTCTCGGTGTGGCCGTCGACTTCCCCCCCTCTCACAACATTAGCGTGCGTGCGTGTGGGGATGTACCCATCGTAAGTAACGTACCAATTTTGGGGTCGATTCCTCCCGACCCATCGAAATCGGAAACAGTACAATTTGCGGTACAATAGTCGTTCGACCCATTGTTCGACCGGCGTCTTTGAGATCATGCACGTCCGCTTTCCGACAAAAACCAGAAAGGGGTGGTATATCAAATGAGACAACGCCACAGATTTCCCATATTTTTTCGGCCTGGTAAACAACACCGTTCCGGCGACTAGTCGGAAGACGCTTTGTGCCGCTCGCCGTTGATTCTTGTGTGGGCATCGTTGTCGGACTTCTGCTGGTCGATGGTCCAGTCCCCCTGGAATCCCCGAGAAGCTGGAGAGGCCTCCGGGGCCTCGGGGGCATGCTTGCGCACATAGTAGAACACAACCAAGTCCGTGCGGGGGTGCTATTGTCTCCCCTTCGAGGACTTGTAGCAGCTCTACGATAGCGTCTTGCAAAAGGCTCACGCTGGGTAGAACTGTTGAAGGAGTGCACGAAGTGTGTTCTCTACGGTTGTTGCACGAAGTATTTCGGAGAACGTGAAGGGTGATTTTGACGTAGTCACAGCCGCACCGTGAGCACAGCTCACTGTTTGTTCGCTTGCTCTCCCATCCCCCTGTTGCTGGATGCTCGAAAATCATCGAATGCGAGGGGGAGGTCACTTTACAGGGTCCCCCACACTTGCTACAGTTTTGCCAAACGACCCATGGGCAACCCATGGGAAGTCCATGGGCGGCCAATGAGAGCCCTTCAACCGGAATCAGTGTACTCCCCTAACAATAGATGACCTGCTTTGGGACGGGCACTATAGCAGCTAATATCCCTACATACCGCTAACCCTATCCCTACCCCCAAGCTCACACGATACGTGCTAGGTTGACGCTGGTGGCTAAGTTCTAGGTTGATGTGCAGGTGGCGAAGTTCTAGGTTGATATACCGGTGGCCAAGTTCTAGGTTGAAGTGCGCACGGTGGGCACTTTATTGGCGGCCCCGTAAAGTGCCCATGGGCGGCAAAACTGTCAGTTGTGTGGGAGAATGACCTTACATAGCTTACATCTCCTTGTTAGCGACGGACGGGCACACCCCTTTTAGTCTCTTACTTTGGGCGGTCGAACCCCACACAGAAACCCCGGTCGACCTTTATTGACGATTCCCTTCGTCCAATTCGGATCGAGGCTCAACTTCTCATTTCATCGCCTGTCGCAAAACGGGTAATTAACCCGTTTCCTAGTTGATTTTTCTGGCCGGGCTATGAAGTCGACTGAACGAATCTGTAACGTGATGTGATATATGGGTGTCTCGGTTTCTTGTGAGCGTGTTTCTTTGGAGTATCGTAAGAGACGCAGAGATGGCACTGGTCGGGGAAATGGCAATGGTCGGGGAGATGGCTGCAAAGCATAACAAGAACGGCGTGATTATATTTTTAAGGAAAATAAATACAATACACGCACAGAAAGACTACCCATTCGAGGTACCCATAGTCGAACGGGATGTGGTGGAGTCTTTTCAGCAAGTGGAGGAAAACCGACTGGGTACTGGACTTATTTCGAGTCTTTTTAAGTCTATACACTGATGACTTATATCAGTGACGCCAGCTGGTGCCAAGTACGAAAACATCTGTGTAGGTAACCTACATTTTACAATACATCCCCTGTAGTTCTACCGGACTATTTTGTTTCCGCACCGGCGTCGGTTATATGCACCAGTGCGATCTCACCGACCCCCAAATCCAAAAAACTCGTTTAGACTGCCTTAATTAATAGAGCATGTCCGTCCGTGACTTTACCAAGGAGCTCATGCATGCGTGATGTCAGTCGTTCAAATCGGTATTGTATGAAGGTTGTAAACGGTACACTCAATCAAGCGCACAATATACTAGCCGCCACCTACCCCACCTTACATCTACTGCTGCGTACGTACTAGGTTATTCGTAGGTAAGTCGTAGGGGAAGACTCAAACGAAAGCGGGAGGCCTGATAACTTAAGTATGAACCGATACCCCAGACAGACAGCATCGTTTTACGTGCAGACCAGAATATTTTCGGTAGGTGCGGCGTTGTTGTCATGGAATGGTTCAAAGTTCACTCACCGGCGGCAATGCCATTTGGCGGTAACTTGGCGGTACTGTTTTGACGGTAGTGTTATAGGATTCAGATGTGTAGACGGAACATAGAAGAGAATGGTTCCTTCTAGAAGGCGCGGAGAGATGTAACTCCCCGCGGAAGGATAAAACAGGGGACAGGATCTAGTAGCCCCTGCTTGTATTGAGGATCCTGCGCCCCTTGGTGTCATTCCTACCGATACCCAAGGCAACAGCTACTGCTGCTGCTGTTCTGCAAGAGTAACAACAAGTGAGTTCTTCTTCACGGGTCAACCAGACTTCATCACGCGTGCATACCACCACACTTGGCGTTGTCGGCTTATTCGTACGGTGTTGTCTGGGTTGGTTGTGTCTTGGCACGGTCTGGTGCTTTAGGCTGCTGCTGCAGTTTTTGCGCTGTCGTACCAACCACAGCTTAGCTTTGCCTCGCTTATCGGTATGTCTCAACCTAGCGTCGGCTCTTCGGACTCTGCTTCGGCGAGTCCTGAGTATTCGGAACGTTCGCGTTCACCAGTGTCATCGCCCCGCGTAGCGACCTTCGGGTCCCCAGCAGCTGGTCGTCAGACCACACAACTGCTGCTGTCTTCGGACAGTGCTCGCGCCGCTGACCCTGTTGCCGAAGCCGCTCGTTTGTCAGAGCTTCGCGCTCAACACACACGGGAGAGGTTCGCCTCGCCGGCTTCGGCCGACGCTAACCCCGTGGGTGCTGTCCTCAAACCGCCAGCACCCAATACCACCACAGTAGGCGGTTACGCGTTCTTTTGGCGGTAACGCCTTTGTCGGTACCGCCCACCGCGCACGGCTGTATGTCAAGGTGGTGACGATCGCCGGACGATCGTATGGCCACAACCAGCAACTAACTTAATTGTGGTGCCTACAGTAGCTATCAGCCTACCTAGGTACTGAGAAGGAAGGGTTGCGTCGTACTATAGTCTACATGTAGACATGATTAGACTACAGCTCGCGGGAAAAAAACAAAACAAGTTCATAAATAAATGTTGTCATAAATGTTCGCTCGTCGTGGTGGACTAAACCGTGCCATATGCCATTAGACTATGTAGGGTGTTTGGACGTGTCAACTCGCAGCTGAAATCGAGTCACGTAGATTTTCACCGACAGAAAGTAAGTACGCGACGCTTTGTACCTGGATCCATTCGCGGGAAGAGGGAAGGGACACAACAACACGTTCAGCAGTGGTCCAGCGGTCTATCGGCCGAATTGAGTACATGGTGATTTTTTGCTGTAAGGCATCCGGTTGGTCAAGGGTTGGTTCCTCTTTTTTTTTTTTTTTTCAAAGATGATCCAACGAATCCATCTCTATCTAAGAAAATAGTCTAAGATAGATTAGCACTGAATCCTTAGCGTCAGCGAAGGCTACCTACACTTCCACGATTTACCGAGCAGCACACAGCGATATCCCCCCTGTGGGTAACAGGCTCTACAAGACAATTTGGTAACCATCGTGCATCTCTCTGCATGTTATGCCGGGAAGGTGTAGAAGAAGGTGTTGGGTTATATCATGTTCCTGGCGACATCAACAACCGACGGGTGGGTCATTTTGCAAGATACATCATCTTCAGATCAGCCTAAACCGAATGGATATTGTGCAAGATACATCATCTTCGTGACGACACAACTATTCCAACAACCACCATGGGAGATTGTGCTAGCGCGGCGTGCCCACCACGAGGGCACACACTTCTCTGCAACCCATATTTTCATCGACTCCTTCACCTCTGCTCTTCCACCTCAATCAACATGGACAACTCGTCTTCTACGGCCGCCGACATCCGCCGTGAACACGACACCAACATGCGCCGTCATCTAAGCCTCGCATTTCAGCATGGACAACGCAGCGCTGCCCAGCGCAACAGGCGCCGCAACGCGTCTCCTTCGCGGCACAGAAAGCGCCGCCAGAACACCGAGCAACCTCGTCATCGGCAGCAACCTCGCCGCAACCACCACTAGCAATCTCGCCGCAGCATCCAGGCCCACAGCGACCCTCCTCGACAGATCATCTTCAGAGCGAGTGACCCGGCGTTAATGCGGCAGCAGCCGTCAAGGCCGCCGGTGCGCATTCTCGGGCCCGGTGAAGACTCAACTGGCGTCTCTCTCGGACCGAGGAACAGGTACTTTCACGATGTGGTGGTTCCGGGTCAATCCCGGGAGGAACGGCACGACATGGTCCGGAAATTTCGGAGTCTAGGCTTCCTGGATGCCCGTGAGTACAAGACAACACGAGCTCGTCCACCGCTAAGGAAAATCATAGAGCCGTTGTCGCATACGAAGCGTCCGAGTGGCAGGTCAGCTGAAATGCGCTGTCGCGCTTGTAGACCAGTTCCATTCCCGGCGTATTCTTCAGATAGCGAAGAATGCGCTTGGCGTTAGCCCAGTCCAGCTGCGAAGGTTGAGACATGCTCCGGGCTGCTTGCATGGTGGCAAAAGCCACATCGAACCGTGTGCAGTTGACCAAGAAGATGAGGCTCCACACTAGGCTCTGGTATTCCTTTTTGTCCGCCTCAGAGAGTACAGCCCTGCCTTCCGCAGACGGCTTGAGTTCCGCTCCAGTGCCCGGGGTGTGCACAGGGTTGCACGTGTCCACCTTGAAGCGCTGGAGAACAGAAAGAGTGTATCTCTCTCGACTTAGCGAGATGGTGCCGTTGGTGAGGTCCTGCTTGATGTCGATGCCAAGGATTTGGGTTGCTCGACCCAGATCAGTCATGGCGAACGAGTTTTGCAGATCTCGACGAGCTTCCTGAAGAACCTTGTTTGAAGGGCCAGGTAGCAGGGTGCCGTCGACGAAAAGAGTGAGCATGACGTAGGCGTGTCCGCTCCCCTTGGTGTAGACGCATGGATCTGAAGCCGTGGGAGAAAAGCCTTGCGGCGAAGGTCTTGGTCGATCGTGAGATTCCATACGCTGGGAGACCGGCGCAGCCCGTAGAGACTTTTCTTCAATTTCCAAATCAACGGCTTGCCGGTGCTGCTGTCGATCGTTTCGAACCCTGGTGCCTGGACCGCTCACTTTGGGTACCTCGGTGCAGACGGCGATGAATGCCGATGCCGTGGCTGACGTCTCGGAAGTACGTGCCTTTGTCTCGGCGAGGATTGCCAAAGATCCTGCCGAAGTGACGGTGTGTTTGAACCCGTCCAACTGAAGTCGCGTAGAACTATTTAGCAGTTGTCCCTTCTTGAAATGAAAATTCCGCGAAGATGCGGATTTACGTCCACCGGATACGGATGGACGCGGAGGGTAGCGTGTAGAGCGTGTCGACGTGGTCGAATGCGTTTGACATGAAGGAAGGCGACCTTGGTTGAGCCGTGGATGATGCCGACGAACTCGATGGAAGTCCTCACGTGTCCCGGAGAAGAAGTGCTGACCAGCGGCTTCTCCGAAGGACAAGACGAGCATTGTTCCGATCCTGGATTTACCGGTCGGATGTACGCAGAAAGACGATGTTCCGATCCTGGATTTAACGGTCGGATGTACGCAGACGCTGATGCTCCTCCTTGCAGTGATGTAAACGAGAGCTGATAACTTGTTGGAATGTAAAACCTGGATTGGGTGTATTCCTGGCAATGGCCACTGTGTAATAACAGTGTGCAGAGGCTCACAGAGTGACTGCTAAGTGCACGTGTGTGTAGACCAGGTAAGATGGTTTCATTTGGCGCTTAGTGGGCCGAAAAGAAAGAGAGTGAGATAGATGGGCGAGCACCGCGAGGGCGAACCATCTATCCTCATCTCGGAACAAGAACCAAAACGGAAGCAGAGCACAACAAAAATACTTCACAAGGGAAAGAGAGTATCCCGTCGGACCATAGTCCGATGTACCGTACTTCAATCTAAGATTGAAGATACTCTGAACTATTCCGGTACTGCTCCTTAGATCCACTATCTATTCACGGTACTCTGAACAATACAGACACTAAAGACTGACATTGAACATATTCCAATAGTTGGTTCGTCGGTTGTGTTGGTGGTGGCACCCTTGAAGAAACACAGATGTTTGACACGTACGTATGCTCATGGTAAAACATATTACTCCCTGCTTCCGCGTGTTGATCTGCATAGACGAACGTCAGCCGGCGAACGTTGGCGGGTACTGGGTATGCACGAACAACTTGGCGTGTACGCGCGTTGGTGGGGGCTTGTTGAACTTGTACCGAAGGCCACGTACCAAATTGAGAATGCACCACACACCAGATTGGAATAGATGCCGCCCTGTGTCAATCATCACGTGAACCAGCAGTTATAGGCGCAGAGCAGACGGTCTCTATATCTTTATACCCCGTCCTCCTCAAGTCCTGTCGGAGATGTCTACGTGCACAACGGCTGGATCCAAAGCGCTGCATGGTTGCTCTTAGGACTTTCTAGGGGTGTGGGTTCTCCAGAGCATGCAATGGACGTAGGTTGACAAACCTTGGCTCCCTAGAGAGCTGTTGGAGATAACTGTTGCGATTCCGCCTCATACATCTGTGGTCACACCTGCCGCGCTGTTCATCTGTGCAGCAGCACCGGACATGACGGGACGAAGAGCAACTACAAGACAACAAGCGGAGAAACTTCTGGAAGCCCTGAGCTTATGGTGAAGTCAGTGACGCGGACACGGACACGGACACGAACGGCACAGACGAATGGCACAGAGACACCTATACTCAGCGATAAGGAGAGGTGGGTGGGATATATCGAAATGTCCCCTAGCACGACTCTGTGCCAGCGACGGTAAATTGGATACTTCTGTATCTGAAGCCCCTCTTTTGAAACACTACTGTTCTGTAGATCCTTCACCTCCTCAACTACCGTGTATGTATCCGTATCCGTATCCTTTACCTCCTCAACTACCGTCTATGACATGTATCCGCATTGTAGTCTTCACGGCTTCGGCATCTTTTTTTTTTTTCCTTGGCAGGGCAACAACGCAACAACACACGATGGTGCGAGACATGTGAGGGCAAGAGATGTACATGGCACACTACATGCAAGCGTACAGCATTGTGTGCCGTGCAACGTACTGGTACCGCCGTGTGCCGTGCCACCGTGTGCCGTGCCGATGTACGATGCACAGCGATACATGTACGGTGAACGGTGCGGTGTAACGTGAGAACCTTACTTCTCTGAAGAACCACCCGAATCGTCAGATATGCGGGTGGTTACGCCGCATGCCGCAGGCCGCACGTGTGTGATCCCCACTCCTCATCGTGTGACCAGCTCCTCACCCACCCACACGCGTACGTCCGATGACAACCGCGAAAGGGGATGCCGAGGGAGATGGGGGCCGCGACGCTACTGCTGTAGAGCTGGACGGGCTGCTGTCCTGGTTTGTTGAGCACGGGGGATCCATGACCAAGCTGTGCCTGGAAGACCTTGGGGGAGAAATGAGCCTCAGCTTGTTGACTGGGCAGGCCCTTAACAAGGGAGAGGTTGTCATGTCCATCCCCATCTCGCTGTGCATGACGGTAGACTCGGTGAGACGCTCACCAGCAGGAAACGCTTTATCACCTGGGGTGGTGAAATATTCTGTTCTTGTTTGTGTTTGCTGCTGCCCTGCCCGTTTCGCACGAAGTCTTCTTGCTGTGTTTTTTTGAGCGAGAAAACAGCATTATCGGTATGTATGTAGGTGGTTCCGCGACCAAGGTGTACATACTGCCGCGAACTTCTTGCTTCAACAACACCTAGCTAAGATGTTGCTACGAGTCTCTTTGAGTCACACAAAGGGCATCGACGTGCGTTTCACAGCATGTGGTGCTGCAAATAAATCTGTTTGGCTGCAACTTCTATGACTGTCTTGGGGCGTGTGCACCAGCTCACTGCTTCTAATGCCACCACGTATATTCTCACCAACTCCCGGGGCGAACATGCGCATCTCAGGCCGCGGCATCGGAGCTTGGAGTAGTGCTGGATGCAAACCCGGGTTTAGTGGAAACTCCTGATGAGGTGAAAGGTGTTTCGCTTGCCGCTGTTTGTGCTGACATGCTCTGGTGCTTGCGTGAGGTGGCCTGATTCACCAGAGCAGCGGGAGTGTCTGGCGCGTTCTTTGCCGTTGTATATCCTTTCCGTCTCTAGAGTATCCATAGTTTTCCCTTGTCGTGCTTCCTGAATCCACACCGTTTTTTTTCTACAATACTTGTTGGCTGCAGGTCCTGGCCCTGCACCTCATGGCCGAGAGAAGAAAGGGCGACGGGTCTTTCTGGAAACAGTACCTACGGTGAGCGCGCAAGCACGCAAGCTGCGCCGCCCCCCGGCCTGTTGTGAGGCTGTCGCTTTGTTCTCCGTGTCTGACCACTTTGAGCGTTGAACCTATGCTGAAAACGGTGGTTCCACGCAGCCACTATGCGCTGCCTGCTTGTGGCATGTGTGTTCGAGGCTAAACGGTTGATGGACTGAAGGAGCAATCGATTGGGTGTTTCCTTCTGGTGGCTTCTTCTTCACACCTACCGCTCCACCGCCTCATACCTCTCCCACTTTGTTGCCGATCCTCTCTCACTTTCCCGCGGCCCCTCTGATGGAAGATCTATTGCCGCCAGTGGGTGCAGTTCTGTAGGCGGGATTAGGACAGACGGTGCCGACTTGTGCACTGCTGTGGGAATCACGCCAGAATCACGCCAGAAGCATCCACTCAAAACACGACCACGAGCTCTGTTTCACCTCCGACAGTTCGCCGTTATTCTAGAGGTCAAGACCAGCCGAACGGGCGACCCCGCATCCCCGCTCTCCTCCATGCAGTATGCCCTCAGGCACCGTTGGCATCCTTCTATTTCGCTTCAACGGGTGTAGGAAGCAAGTCATGGGAGTGGCGACCATGCGGTGGAATGTTGCGCTCTGCAGCTTCGCATGACTATGTTTTGGTCGTCGGGATAAATGCACTGGTGTTGGAAAGTAGTGGAAGTTCTGACTTAAATAAATAGCGAGCCAACCTGAAAGGCACGCATCGCCAAATATACATCGGAACTAGGAGCAACAAGTGCGCGCGATACCGGCGTCCCCTGTTTCGCACATGGCTGTGCTCCCTTAGATTCGACGCTAGCAGCCGCCATCATATTTTTCTGTTTTCGTCGCAGTAGCTGCCGAAAGAGAGCAAAACCCCTCGTGTACGTTGGGACTGAAAAAACATCACTACTGAAGCGTGGTGTGCTCGCGCGTCAACATGTGCGTCGTAGTGTGTATCTCGTGTAAAAACTATATATTTATATATTAGTATATACACGCTTATCCATTGTCAAAGGAAACAAGACCATGCTCATGCCCATGCCCTTGTGCTTGCGCAGAACCCTCCCAGACGACGTGGACACACCTCTACGGTGGCTGGTGGAACAGGCGGAGGAGGAGTTCCGGTTGCTGGATGGCACCATGGTCGGGCTGTTGTCGAGAATGATGCACTCTCAGGTGGAGAAACATATTCAGAAAAGCTTTTCCCCAAAATGTTTTCTTCATGTTTTCTATATGAGTCTTGGTGGTTGTGCTCTCACTTGCCTGGCTCGAGTAATGGTGTGTTTTATTTCGGCGTGCCGCTACCCTTGTTCGGTTGTTGTCGACCGCTTTGTTAACAGGTACGGAAGGACTGGGAGGAATTTCACCTGCCGTTGGTGGAAGCGCATCCGGAGATCCTCGGCGGGGTAACTTTCGAGGTGAGAGCATTCAACAGCAACAGGGAACGAAACCAAGAACAAGCTGCTAACGATATCTGGCATTCGTTTTGGCGATGACCAAAACATTGAGGTCAATCAAAGCAGCCGCACCGCCGTTGATAAATAGTACCAGGCGAGCCGATTGAAAGCCGGGGTTGTCATCTGTAGTGCTCTTACCAATGGAGAAGAACCGATTCAGGCGATGAAGGACGGCGGCAATGGCCATGGCGGAAACTGCCGTCTAGATCACCTATTGTAAAGCAAATACGTACTGGAAACACAACTGTCCCAAACGATGTTTCACGCTACGCATCCAAAATCGCCACCGCCGCTAAAACCACCCCGACCTGATGAAGCCTATCCCCGGTCCCCTGCTTTTTCCGGTCCCCTGCTTTTTTCTTGCCCGTGTCTGGTGCAGGACTACTTGTGGGCTATGTCCTCGATATGGAGCCGCTCTTTCGACTATCAAGAGCCGGGGCCGGACGATTCTCCTTGCAGCCGTAGGGCGATGGTGCCAGTAATCAACGCAGCCAACCACGATCCTTCGGTGAGAAACAAAGCAAGATTTTTTCAAGTATTTGTGTGCTGTGTGCATACTGCCGATGCTGATCTCTGAGTGCGCGTGCAAGATCATGATACCACCGAAAGCCTGCTCCGCGGTTACGCTCCGCTTGCGCTCGTTCTCCGAACCCAGGCCGCGGACTCTCTGTCGGAGATGATAGAGTTCCAGGCGCAAGAAGGTGGCCTTTCCATGGGCATCGGAGAACCGGGAAGGGCCCGAGGGACGCTTCGCGTCTCCGCCGGCAGAGACTACGCCGCCCGAGAGCAGTTTTTCATCCTCTACGGCCGCTACTCGAACGCCAAGCTGCTCTACAGGCGCGAACTCTTTTGGCGGACGGGAATTGGTCTTTCTTTGCGCTCGTGGATAGAACGATGACGGTGCCGCCTGGCGGGAGAGACACGTTCCTAGTATACCCCAAAACGCGCGAGGCGGCTCAAATGTCCTTGCTCACGACCACTCTTTTCTCAGTGGCGCTTCTTGTGCGAGATTTCAAGGAGTAAGACCCGAGGCGTTGGTGTCTTCTCCGTCCCCTCGACAACCCGAGGCAACATCTACTCTTTCAACTCCCCCCCTCCCCCCACTTTTACCACTGGTCCCTTCCCCCGCCCGCCCCCCTCGATTCAGCTACGGCTTCGTGTTGGCGAGCAATCCTTACGGCGGCTTGGACTACTGGGTGAGGGTGCCGCAAACTGACCCGGGCTTCGCATGGAAGCAGGCTTTGTTGGACGAGCACCCGCTCACGGCGGCGCAGGCGTACGACTTTTCGGGAACCGTGCGAGCGGGAGGTAGGCGCGCTCGGACACGTTTTGGTTGGGCGGACTTGTGGCGACGGCCCGCGTGCCCCTCGTATTCCAACCCACGGCCATGGTCGCGCTCGACTTTTCCTCCGACGGGTGTTGCAGTACGACTGCATCGATTGCGGTGGATCTTTCTCATTGGCATGCCGTGTGGTAAGCACATCGAAAGGAAACGCCTCTCGAGGACGGTTGTTTCGTATTGTCGTGCCGTCCATCTTGGTTCATCAAGAAAGCAACATCCAGCCTCTCTTCCACCCCCGTCCTCTGGTTGGTTGCACGGTGCAGGATGGATCTCCCCGGCGTTGCTCGCCACCGTTCGCGTGGCGCAACTCACCGCCGACGAGAGGCCGGTGGCTGAGAAAGTGAGCACCGCTAGCACAACGTCCATTTAGACTAATTGTGTGGTAAATGACAGGGAAGGAAAGCCCCGGCCGCATTCTGAAGCCCGCCCCGTTTTCTCCTCAGAAGATACGGGGTGAGCTGGAACACCGTTCGTAGCAAGAGGCGCGTTCAGGACGGGGTTAGGCCCCCCTGAGCAACGCGTGGTACGGTATGATGGGTGGACCTCTGTCTGGTGGCATGCCTAAGCTTTGTAAACTTGCGTCTCCCTCCTCCCGACCCCCCATATTTGCCACTTCTGTTAGTATGCCCAACCCCTCCTTGTTTGCCGCGGGTGTTTTCCCACCTGCAGGGCGTGTTGAGACCCCTACTTGGCGCGCGAGACCCCGGTGTAGAGGTTCGAACCCCTCTTGATATTGAAACCTGTAATACGTGCTCGTCGATGTGGCTCAGCCCCCCCCCCCCCCCCCCCCTACCCCCCTATCGGCGTGTTAGCAGGCGTTCGAAGGGAAGATGGTTACTCCTAGGAATGAGGCGGCTAGCTTGGGGGCCCTGCTAGCCGGACTTCGGCGAAAGCTAACAACTCTAGGGGGCACCGCCGATGAGAGAAGCCCGTCAGGTTGGGAGAAGGAAAAGCAAGATATCGCTGCGCTCGAAGGTGAGCTCGAGCGCCGGCAGCAGCGGCGACAACCTCACGGGGGAGAAGGGGAGTTGGCCGGAGGCGAAGAGGAGGGGGGGGATAGGGGTAAGGAAGAGGAGCGTGGGGACGGGGGAGCGGGTGCTGCCATCACCGCCGCCGCCGCCGCCTCTCGATGTTCCGCTTCTGGTGCTGCTGCCATCAAGTCCCTCCGGAGGAGGGTTGCGGCCGCTAGGGTCCGACTCGAAGAGAAGGCGGTGGTAGCCGACGCAATCTTGGCCCTGGAAGCGTCGCTTCGAGAGTTGCAGGCGGCGGCATCGTCCGGGGTGGGGGCGGTCGCTTCTTTTGAGACATTGGACTGCCGTACAGGTTAAAAGCCTCGCGCTCATTTTGTGGAACTTTGAACCGTGCGGGGAAGGGCGAGTTGGTGGTCATTGGCAGCCCGACGCTGGCTGTTGCTGCCGTCGCTTGCCAGAGAAAAAACGTGTTGGTAGCAATTTCCGACGAGGGGCTCGGTAGGAAGGAATTGGTTCGACACCATGACCTTCTGGCGATCCTCTTTATCACCTTGGGGTGGTCGGTGTAAGCGGCGTACCTTGTGCGAGTCGTACGAAATGGAGGGTGGCTTCTCTGTCCAAGTGGTTCACTCTTCGCGTTGAGATCTGCGAAGGATTGGAGGGTATTCCAACTTTCTGTTCTTCTTGGATATGGGGAAATCGTTTCAAAGGTTCCCTTGCTGCCATGCGGCGAGCGTCAACAATACAATAACATGCCGTTCCAAACCACGATCCGCGCGTCGTCTCCGTTGTTTGACGGGAGGGGCACAACTAAGCCTGTCGAATTTTGTGGCGAAGGCGAACAGAACAGTAGGCGATCTTCATAGAAGCAGCTGCCGATCCAAGGTTGGTTGCACTAATTGTTGCGCGTGCGTCGGGAATCTCATGTTCGTGTGTTTGCGATGGGGGGCAGTGCGTTACTTCTCGACATTGCTCGTCTTGAGTTCTGCTCAACTGGCGGCTGCGGAGCTCTGACGAGCCCCCGGTATACGATCGTAGCCATGGTGCACTCTCCGCTGCGTTGTTGTTACCGAACAACCGAGGCATATTCAATTCCAGATGTTCTCACAAGCCTTCCCAACATAAAATAGGTAGGCGACGCACACGCCCAATCCAGCGGAGCGCTTGCCATCGACTTTCCTTGTTTTGTAGGGTGGTATAACACGCTCGTTGTCCATGTCAGCAACATCAGTATCACAGAAGATAACTCATTGTTACCGAGAGGAACATGGGAATGGTACCGAGATCATCGCCGTGGCCTCCAATAAGAAAACTATCGCACAGCCGCAACGGCAGTTGATCCTTCCCACGCATACCAGAAAGCGGGCGCCGAAGGAAAACATTCGAGGCTGGGTTAGCTGTGATACCAGTATATGCATAAATTTCTTGCGCGACACCGGAAACAGCAGTTGCCGGGCGAATCAGGCTCAGTCGAAGGGGAGAGTAGGTGTCAAGTCTACTTGTCCACACACTCCGGGATAAATCCTCCCGAGAGGAACCCGTTAGAGCCAAAGCCATCCGCACACGACTGAAGAAGCGGTACATGTACGCGCGTGGCCGGTACTGGGTGGGTGAATTCCCTTGGCGCGGAGAGAAAACCAAGTTGCGCTATGTTGGTGAAAACGGTGGGTGCCCGCGATAACGGCAAGGTGGATCGGCCTGGCACCATATACCCGCCCTGAAGAGGGAGGGCCCAAATCTTCCGCGCTAGCAACGCCGCATGCCTCCGGGCGACAGCAGGGCGTGCCGGGTGGGTGGCACGGCATGCTTTCTTCTTTACAGCACACGAAAAGTCGTATCAAGACGCCCTATCTTGAACGAAAAACAACACTACGAACAACTGTATATGGCACCGCCGTACTCACATACACTCAACATTTACAAGGAACCGGCCGACCAACAAGCTTACCGAACCATCGCCGTATCCGCAGGGGGGGAGTCATGATATACGGTGCCATCGAAAGGTGCCGTACGTAACATTATAAGCTCCCCACGGCCAGCCAATGCACACTCAAGCTCCGTCAGCCCAAGACTCTACTTCCCGAACCGGATTATACGCGTGTTTTTCAATGGGACAAAAAAAAAAAAAACACGTCAGAACCGTTCGCTCATCCGACGAGCCACATTTCGCATCTGGTTGTACACCTTCCCGGGGGGAGCCCCCAAAATCAGCGCGCAGATAGCGTCGCGAGCAACCTGGGCAATTGGGGGGCACACGAACATGACAAAACAAGAAAACGAGGGGGGGGGGGTCGCCTTTGTAATACTATGAACAGCTACGGATACAAAGCCAAAATATATACTTCTTATTCTAGCATATACAGAAGGCCACACCGCGTACTGTAAGGACCTCTTTCGCTTGAGGCTACTTTCTCATTTCCCTCTGTGTACCTACACCCAAGGGCGACTAAACATGACGCCTAACTGGGCCCCAGCTCTTGCGGTCGACTTTCTACACGAAAAAAAAACAAAAACGTAACAAATAGTTACCTGTGCCTCCAGCAACACCAAAAAACAGAACAAAACACACCACTCAAAAGAATGTGCAGAATCAAAGAGACGCACCTTGATGTTGCTGAAGGAGCCCAAGATGTGCACCTTCTGGTCGGCAACGATGATTCGCGTTCGAGTCGCGTTCTCGATGGCGTGTCTCGTCTTGCCTCCCTGCCCGGCAATACGACCGATCGCACGACTGCCCCGCCGCCCGACACACAATACACAAAAAAAATACACAAGAGGACGGAAGCACAGGGTCAGAGAGAGAGAGAGAGAGAGAGAGAGGGAGGGAGGGAGGTACATATCACAGCACTAAAGGATTGTCGTGGCACCAGCAGCGACCTGCAGGGGGGCTTCGAAAAACATGTCGAATACCATTGTGTGTTTTTCTGGCTGGCATGTAGGCTACAACAAACTAAAAACGAGTCCAGAATCCAGGAGGTTGTTCCCAACGCTCACCGGACTATGCACCGCGATTGGGGCGATATGTCGCCCGAGCAGTCTTTGTGCGATTGTACATTTTCTATAAAGTGAGCAAGGGAAAACGCCAAGCACGTAATCTGTTGCCAAGCGCATGTCAGGAGGGCAGCGTTGATGCAGACTTTTTTTTTAGCGGAAATTCTCTTAAAAAAAAATTATTTGGGGTTCTGCTCGAAACAGGGGTCGTCCACTGAGCAACTCTTCCAGTCGCCGCTGCTTTGAACAACGGCAGTCAAAGCGACAAACGCGGGTACTCAAACGGATATCCTGGTATATTTCTCAGTCTTGTACAGTGAGGGGTTAGGGACATATGCCGGATATCGGTCTTCAATGGGTCTGTGTAACCCTGTACAACAAGGAACTGGAGTTGTGCTAGCCTTGTTCTCTGAGAAATCGTATTGCTTGCGGGATGAAACTTGCCAACCTCAAAGGAGCAAGCGCATGTCGCGGGCACGCCAAACCTCGCCGTACCCCACACTTCCCCGTCATTATCTCCACCTTGTGCACACATTTGGCGTGGTTTGTGATCTTACGCCCCCAAGTCAAACCAACGATTCCATATCGCCGAAAGGCGAACACGAAACAAAAAACACATGGTCACTCCTGTGCCGAAGGCGAGTAACACACACGCTACACCATCTCTGGCACAAAAAAGAAAAGAATAATCATACGTCCCGCAGAGAACACTTTTCAGCGTTGGTACCCCATGGGGTCAGAGCTTTTTTCTTGGTGCAGGAATCATCGGGAGGCAGCTGTTGAAAATAAATAAAACGGAGTGCGGGGCGGCGAAAAAAACACAGCAATCACACGGAGCAAGTATCAAAAGGCACATCGAGCCCCTCGGAGAAATTGGAGATACCTGAGGTGGTCTCCCGTGAGCGTCTTGACGTCTTGCACTTGGAACGAGTCGACGTAGAGGTCGTCCAATCGCAGCAAGGCCACCGCGTCCTGTGAAACAACGAAACATTCGGAAAATATAAAACAAAGACATGAGACGTAGAGGAAAAAAGGAGGTCAGAACCAGCAATGGCGCGACACTCTCCGGGGCTGCGGATCGACAGTTTCATCATCAAAGACAGGCACGCGTTTTTACCACAGTGAAGGGGGGGCTTTTGCCCGCCGCTTCCCACACCGCCAATCATGTCTTGTTCGAACTTCGCACATTGTACACCGCCGGTTTTGACAAGCGACGCATATTTCAAACCGTTTCGTCTTTCCCTTATCCCGCCGCCCGGAAGCCCCACCTGCACTTCGAAGCCGAGCATGAACGCCTGGATGAAATCGGCGGTTTTCTGCAGGGCGGACGCATCCTCGGTGTGCTTGGACGACTTCAGCTCCACATTTCGCGTCTTTCGGTTGAACCTGCTCAATCGATCAGGAACAGCGGCGAAAGACACAGAGGAATGAAAGCGGAACATAAATATACCAGGTACGATACAAGGCGAGGAAAAAAACATGGGATAAAACGGCGGGTGGAAAAAAGCGGGAGAAAGGCGGGGAGACATCAAGGACTACAGTAATATGCATTTTCACTATGAAATCAATAAACTCAACATAAAATAGGACATTGCGGTATGCGAAAAACGTGCGTCGATACGTCCTCGAGGGAGGACGCTGTGAGAAGTTCCACTCACGACAGCTCTTCCATTTTCAGGGGAAATCTCTACAACGGGCAGGCAACACAGCAGCGAGCGAAAAGAAAAACCCAAAAAACGTTGCCTTGAGGGCACAATCCACAACAGGGGGGTCGAACGCACAAGCTTTGTACGAGTGTGCCGCGTGGACCGGTGTGACTGCTGAACTCTTCCTATGCTTGCGCACAGGCCAGCACGCCAGCTCTAGGTCCGTGCTGCAACGATGGACGAAAGACGGCAATCGTATGCAGGCACCGGGCAGCGCTACCGCTGACGACAACACCGATAGCTCAGACCGTAGCACCACAACCCCCAAACGCCAGGGACAACAACAATAGCAACAGCAGCAACACGAACTACACGGGAGGGCGAAGCAAGCACCTCCTACCTGATCTGGAGCTTCATGTGCTCCACCGTGGGAGTCACGATGTTTTCCCAGCAGTTCCGCAAGGGCGTTAATCGGTGGGGGGGGCAACGAATCCTACGGAAGTCGTCCTTGCCGCCTCCCATCTCTCGCGCCGTGAGAGCCGGGAAGTCTGGCCGCGCCGCCGCCGCCGCCGCCGCCCCCTCTCCGTCGGTAGTGTCCATGCCCACGTCTTCTGCTCCCGCTCCCGCCGCTGCTGCTGCTGCTGCATCGGCTTCCACCTGTCACGGCGGTGCACATGTTGCGTGAGTGAACAAGATGGTCCAAGCCGAAAGAGCTCCAAGCCCGATGCGCCCAACCTCTCCTTTCGGGCATGGCAGCACTCCCTCTCCTTGCAATCCGCTTGTACGTTTGACCGCTGCGGTGGCTCCTATCTCTGCAACCACCTATCCTCGTCCGTGGGCAATGGAGCATGGATTTGATGCCCCAAATGGTGGGGGATCATGCCGATGCTCTCTTGTGCGATCGTCATCCGAGGCGTCTTCTTCTTGGTGAGGGGAGGGGGGCGCACTCGTGAATCCCCTACCGATTGAAAGGGGGTGCCGTACATCGCAACACTTTCTACGTCTAGTGGGCAACCCGATCAGATCATAGGCACCCTCAAGGAGCCGTAGTAGCCTGCCCTTTAGCGTATCGTAGCCTTGGATTGTCTCGACGGTCAAAGCCGGGTTCTCGCATTGAGAATCGATCCCCAGTCCTTGTTTCCCCTCCAAAACGCGGCGGGGGTGCATCCCATAAGTAAAAACATCGAATAGCTTCGGCTCGGAACACTGCTGTAATTTTCTGGAAAAGCGGGAAATTCCTGGCCAAGCTAGTACAACGTGTCCCCCCCCGATCTCAAACCAAACCAAAATCAAAGTTCCGTTCCGGCATGTACCCGCCCAAGCCGTGTCGTTGCCCCCACAACCCCTCCCTTGGCCATTCACCGCGGTAACTCTCGCGTTTGTAACACGCATAAACAGCACGCACCTGGCCCGCTTGGAAAACCACTCCCTCGTCGACCTCCATCGTCAACCAAACGTGAGGTCTCTTCGGCGAGAACTACTCGACGTGCGTGTCTGCTTCGCCCGCCTGCTCCGCCTAAATCCTTGCGTACCGCTTGTTTCGGCGCTGGGGTGTGATGTGAAAGCTGTAGGTAGCATACCAAGGCGGAGGGGGTGGGGGTGCGGAGTGGATGGCGTTAGTTTTGGGCACATGGCGGCGGTACGCAAGCGGCAGCAACAGCAACAGGGAGGGCTTGCAGCAGCGAGGACGACGGCAGAGGTGAGAGTGATGGGGGCACCACCGCCACCTGGGCGCCCCGATGTTCGCGCCCCGCCTCCCCCGTGACGCGCAGATAGCGTGTGCGCCCACGGCTCTCCAGACAGCGAAAATTGCGCCGCACGGTGCGGTGGGCGCGAAGTGCGCTGCCATGAGACGCGCTTTTCCGCGAGTGGCGGCGTGATGTCATGGGTGCTACACGTGGTGCATTCATTCCCCCTATGTACTTGTATGAAACGGCAAGAGAGCTGAGTATCAAAGGCAGTACGCACATGGCATGGCACCAATGGGATTATGCACACAGCGTTTACAAACAACGCAAGTTGCCTTTTGTGTTACGGAAGCTGGCCATGGGACTCGTTACCAACCTAACGCGTACTCTGCTGACCCCCCGGTGTTCTCCTGCTGTGCGTTGTCTGCTCCGTTTCCGATCACATGTAAGTAGAAATCATTGGAATATTGGATGAGGCCATGTCACGGCAAATGAGTCTACCCCAACTTTTCCGATATGCTGGTGGTAGATTGTCTACACCGATGTCATGGAGATCGTCGACACAGATCAGTGCTGCTTGCAGTGAAACTCTGCTTGACTCAACTTGACTGCTGCTGAATGTAGATACGAGCAAAGGTGTTGTACGACTGCTGTACTTGTAAAATTGTAGCTCTCTGGCGAGAGCACTAATTTCTCGTGCCAATGCGACTGCTCTCGGTATACTCGAGGATTCGCCGCCATGCCCGGGCGCGGAGTTGTGTCGTGCACGTTCCAAAAGTCAACCCACGATGCGCACGTAGGCAAGGGCCCTCCGCCCAACAACGACGGAGAGACGTACAGAGCTGGCGCACCACCATTATTGGGGGGGCCGTGTATGGCGAAGACGGAGAAAAAACTACCACAGCACTCTCCTGCAAAATAAGCACGGCCGGAGGCATGATCTGCATGACGTGCATCGTATCTCGCACTTCCGGCTTCGGAGATACTGCTGGCTGCTGCTGCGGTACATAGTTCAGTTGTCCTAGATGTACCACTACTACTGCACTCCAGTATCTAGATCGAGAATGCCTTGTATCGTTTTCCTTTTAGCAATCCCGCAGTTGACCTCGCCCACGTGCTATCGTAATGACGATCATAGCTGGGAAACGCAGGAGCTTCTACGGGAACGGAATGTGCGAACGGGGGTCTAGCATGGTAGTCATGGGCAAGGAACGCGCGACGAGGTCGGTGGCTGAGCTGCCGCCCGACGCGCAAAGCAAAGCAAAGCAGTAGACAAGATCGACACAGACCGCCATTCAAATCACGCCACGGACCCACAGCAGCAGGGGCAGCAAGCAAAACACATCATGATGTGCTTTGTCTCATCTGTCACACAGCACACCTTTTCTTTTGGACGAGGCCGAGAAAGAAGAAGATAGTTCCCTGGAACTAACCTCGAAAAGAGATGCAGAAGTTATGTCGGAGAGGAGGAGAGACCGATGTCGTCGGGTGCTGGCTCGCTCGGGCTGTCTGCTGTGCGAAGGAAATAGTTTGAGGGGGCATCCGCGAAGCAGTATTCCCGGGGTGTATGCATTTTTGAATGTCAAAAAAGGGGGGGAGGGGGGGGGGTCAGCTACTTTGCCGTTCAGAGTTTAGACTCCAGCCGGCGAGCCAGAGAGCCGGCGAGGGCAGGGAGGCTAGCAAGGAGAGAGAGAGCACAGGACCCTAAGACAAAAGCTTCGAACACTGAGGTGCGACACGGAAGGGATTAACCGTGCAGTCGTGCTCCCATGCTTGGATCGCGGTTTGCCTCTGATGTCTTCTTTGCGTGGGGGGCAGAAAGGAGAAAAATGTCATCTTGTTGGTTGCAGCTTTCAAAATTCGGGGCCGAATGCGCCCGTGGGTTTTTGTTTCAAACCGGGAGATGAACGCATGACTTTTGCCATAGTGCCGTGAATGAGTTGATACGCCGTGAGGGACACAACAGCAACCTAAGATATTCATGGCCCGCTTTCATGTTCAAACGAGAACCTTCACTATGATGTAAACAAGCATCAACGATATGTCAGCGTCAGATTTCGGTTGACCCAAAAAGGTGCCAAGCCTGGGAAACAGACCACGAAAAGCCCTACTGCTGTAGCAGAAAAGCCCCACGAAGTCGTTAGCAATTTTCCGGTTGTTCTCGTCGTTGTTACTACCATGCCTTTTTCGCACCAAGGGTGCGTAGGGTCGCTTTCGGAGGGTTTTCAGGGCTGCTGCGTGCCAACAAGGAGCAGGCGAGGCATCAGAAAATGCCACAGACTCGATGAGCATGACACACAGGAGAGATGACTGCTTGCACGCTCTCAGAGTTGATCTCAAGCGGCCAGGAGGGCGGCGCACTTTTATCGCGAAAAGCAATGCGCGTATGTGAGCGACCGCAGCAGGCCCGGAGCACCCGCTCCGGATTAGGACAGCCGGCTGCTCCACACGCCCACCCCCCACGCCTCCAGCCCCGTTTCATGTTCCGTGAGGGCTCCCCCTTCCTCACGCGTCACCCGCGCAAAATCGCAAAATTTCAAATTTGGTTCCCTGCCCTGTTCGGGTGTGCTTGTCGTCGTCTCCGGATCCCGCACGCAAGAATGGTCCCGGGGTAGAGCTGCGGGCAACATACGCCTCGAACGGCGCACCGGGATATTGTAGGCAAGCCCTTAGACAAGGCCACCCTGTTGATCCCTATCCCCATCGGCAGCGCACGCCTCCATGCGGTGGACATTGTCCGTAGCGTTTGGTGGATGCGGTCGTCCGCCTCCCCTGCTGGAGTGCTGGAGCGATAATTTTTCATTTTTCGCCGCGGCCGTCCCCGAACCGGAATTTTATTCAAGAAACCACGTGAACCGCCGACATATGTACATGATCCTCGCTGCTCTTCCATCTCTGTGGTGCGCGTCTTCCCCCAAGGACTGGAAGGATAACGAGAGACAGGGAGGGACTCTTGCTCTCTCTTTCTGCCCCCCCCCCCCCCTTATTCCCTCCGCCCCTTGAACAATACAACACAATACAACAAATAGTTGCAATCGTCGTTGGTTCTCCTTCTCCTTCTCAGCTTCTCAGTACCGAGTGACGTCCGTCTAACTCTAACATGTAAGGCTGCTGCACTGCTGCACATCCGGTTCACCCGACCCATCGCGGGTACATTGAAGCGGACACCCGCCCTATTTCGAGTTGTATAAAGCACTTGAATGGTCCATCTGTGCTGAGATGTTTCACCGCCCTATATGTGGAGGACCCACATATTCACGTAATTGCATATTCAGTGCTGTACGAGAGTGTGTC